AGACTCTGAACTAGACTTCTCTTGATCACATTCGCGCATGTCACTATCAGTAATTTGTAATGTGTCTTTTTCAGGATTGTCTTTGTTGATTTTCTCGTCAGTTTCGGTTTCACCTTGAACATTATTCTCTGCTCCTTTTGCTTCATCTTTCTCGTTTTCTCGAATGCGTCCTTCAACTTGCTCTCCCGGAATTTCCTGTTCCCCTTCCTTGGCCCTTGGATCGTCATCAATGTTTACGTTTGTATCGTCCTCGTTTGTCACCTCTTCGTCCATTCCCAATTCACTATTGTCATCTCTGTCCGATTCCCTTTCACTGTGTTCACTCATCTGGCACGAACATCTGTGCTCCCATTCTCCACATTCCTCACAGCGGACGGATTTACATGTCCTAGCATAATGTCCTTGACTCTTGCACCTAAAACATGTAAATTTGGGGCATGATCTGAACAAATGTTCACTTGAAAAACATAAAGAGCACACTTTGATTTGTCCGTTATGTAAGCATCTATAATAGTCTTTCTGAAATTTCATTGTATATGGAAGTGAGCTCATGTTTTCAGGCAATTTCACTTTTGCATATCTTGTGCCGTCAGCTATTGTTGTTCCAGGATAAAACCTTCTGTTAATTGGGGATAAAAGTTCAACTCCCAATGATCGTAGTGTCATTTCAATTTCACTGTCATCGATATAAGCCGGCAAGTGCATGAAACTTACAACCAGTGAACTAGGAACTACCTCGTGACAATCGAACGTATTTTGTCCTATTTTTATCCCCTCTAAGAGGTACTGCAAGGGGGCTTTCCCATCCAATGTTATTTCGTATAAATTTCCTGATTTTGGCACACAAGCCAACAAACTACCTACTCCACAATGAGAATGAATGTACTTGATAATTTCTTCGGGTTTAACTGAAGAGTTGTCCTTCACATTTACAAACAATGTATTCTCTCGGCAGTATTTTCTGCCTGAAAACAAATTTGTAGATCCGCCAAGATGGCGACCACTTGACGTGGCAGCCATCCCTACTTTTTGAACGTTATTTACACCTTTTGATAATTCAAAAATATATACAAACAGCAAACAAAGTCAAAGTATATACAAATAGTCTTCCACTGGAAGCATAAATATTTCCCTGGTTCACCTCATACAGTAAACACTATGGATGTATTCGAAGATCCAAATAAACGTGCTCACCTCGCCATAAGCAAACCGGAAGTCCCCGCTTAGGGAAAAAGTCGGATCCCCCTGACTGAATTTGTAGAATTATTAAATGTATACATGTATACTGAAGCAAATAAAATACATGTATGTCAATATGCATATAAAGATTTGATTGCTTATTCTGTATTATGTGTATAGAAGATTCTTTTTATATGGAATATTTATCACACTGTAATGATGATTTTATAACCTCATAAATTTTTCATTTCACATGCTGAATACTATCATTTAATAAAAAAAAAGTATTTAAAAGAAAAAAAAAGAAAAAAAAAGACAGATTCGACCGAGATTCGATCCCGGGACCTCCCGCATGTGAAGCGAGTGATATAACCACTAGACCATGGTCGCTTTAGCCGGTGTCAAGTATATGCTGAACTAAAGTCACACACATGTGTATATTCATGTTCGGTATTCTCAAAATTTTACACAATCCATGGTGTTTGATTTATTTAGCCTTTATTAAACAGTTCTAATAGATGTAATAAGAACATAAAGTCCGCCGAGAACCTGTTTTATACGCAATAACTCTCCTCATGCCCCTGCGCTAAAAATAGCGACATGTAATACTATAAATACTAATAAAACAAACGGTGCGGGGCACTTTGAGAGGGGCGAGAGACGTCCTAGGGAGTTTTGGTATAACATTATTGCATAAGCTCAAAATCTTCTTGAAATATCGCCCGGAAATGATAGTGTTACACACAGACAGAATGTATAAATTTACGACCTTGAACTTTGACCTTTTGACCTCAAAATCAATAGGGGTCTTCATTAGGCCACAGGGAGTTGTTATGTACAAGTTAATTCAGGGAATTCGTGTCCCCCGCTTAGGGAAAAAGTCGGCTCCCCCTGACTGAATTTGTAGAATTATTAAATGTATACATGTACAATGAAGCGCATTGAAGTGGTAAAATTTTCCATTTTGACGAAACGTTCCGAGTCATGTTTTGAACGTCAGTTATAACATAACGACACGCCCATTTCTTTAGAAACGAGAAAGGAATATTCGTCGTAATCTTTTAGGACACTACACTTCCCGCGACTAACAACTTAAAATGAAGATTTTTAAACAAGAAAGAGCAATCTATAGAGTTCCCACTTGTGTAAAACACGCATTGAAACGAATTGGTACATAATTATGATTTTATCATGTTTACTGGAGATAGCATAGCACATGTATCAGTCGAACACGTGCTTACTCGGTGTTTATGTTAACCGTCAGTTTCATTGGATGTTATATTTATAAAATACCTATTCTACAGGTATTCGATTGAATCATTTGACCGATATTTCTTTTCTAAAGAAATGGGCGTGTCTAAAGATAGCTCAAAACGTTCCTTCCAAACAGAAAATTTTACCACTTCAATGCGCTTCATTGTATACTGAAGCAAATAAAATACATGTATGTCAATATGCATATTCTTTATTATGTGTATAGAAGATTTTTTTATATGGAATGTTTATCACACTGTAATGATGATTTTATAACCTCATAAATTTTTCATTTCACATGCTTAATACTATCATTTAGTAAAAAAAAAAAAAGTATTTAAAAAAAAAAAAAAAAAAAAAAAAAAAAAAAAAAAAAAAGAATGGTTCGACCAAGATTCGATCCCGTGACCTCTCACATTTGAAGCGAGAGACATATCCACTAGACCACGGAATCGCTTTAAGCGCTGTGAAGTATATGCAGAATTGAAGTCACATACATGTATATATTCATATTTTCATGTTCGGTATTCTCAAAATTTTACACAATCCATGGTGTTTGATTTATTTAGCCTTTATTAAACAGTTCTAATAGATGTAATAAGAACATAAAGTCCGCCGAGAACCTGTTTTATATGTAATAACTCTCCTCATGCCCCTGCGCTAAAAATAGCGACATGTAATACTATAAATACTAATAAAACAAACGGGGCGGGGCACTTTGAGAGGGGCGAGAGACGTCCTAGGGAGTTTTGGTATAAAATTACATTGCATAAGCTCAAAATCTTCTTGAAATATCGCCCGGAAATGATAGTATTACACACAGACAGAATGTATAAATTTACGACCTTGAACTTTGACCTTTTGACCTCAAAATCAATAGGGATCTTCATTAGGCTACAGGGAGTTGTTATATAAAATTTCATTGCAATAGCTCAAATGGTTCTCGAGATATCGTGTGGAAACGAAAGTGTTTTAACAGACAAAATTTGCTTATTTATGACCTTGGCCTTTGACCTTTTGACCTCAAAATCAATAGGGGTCTTCTTTAGTCCATAGGGAGTTGCTATGCTAAATTTCATTGCAAAAGCTCAAAGAGTTCTCGAGATATCGTGTGGAAACGAAAGCGTTACAGACAGACAGAAAGACGGACGGACGGACGGACAGACGGTTGGACGGACGGACGGACGGACAAACCCAAATTAATATCCCCCACTTTTCAAGCGGGGGACAAAAATTTCATTGCAATAGCACAAATGGTTCTAGAGATATCGTGTGGAAACGAAAGTGTTTTAACAAACAGAATTTGCTTATTTATGACCTTGACCTTTTGACCTCAAAATCAATAGGGGTCTTCTTTAGTCCATAGGGAGTTGCTATGCTAAATTTCATTGCAAAAGCTCAAAGGGTTCTCGAGATATCGTGTGGAAACGAAAGCGTTACAGACAGACAGAAAGACGGACGGACGGACGGACAGACGGACAAACCCAAATTAATATCCCCCACTTTTCAAGCGGGGGACAAAAATACAATGTGACAATGTATGCACAATTTTTCTTTCATCTCCATTATATGAATTACTTTTGTAAAGAGGTAGAGACACCTGTAGCTTTTAAGTAGATGCAGCATTATTTGAGACCAGGAAACTCATTTAAAAGTTTTGATACGTCGGTCTTGTCATGCACTAATGTGATCAGGAAACTTCCTGCATCTAAAAGAGGGTTTTACTGTGTGGATTCCAGAAAAACTGAAATATTTTAACTATCACTTTAAGTTCGGTATATGGCAAAACTGAGAGAAATTCAAGAATATTAGTATGTATGAATTTTATCCACGAATCAGGATTGTGTATATATATATACATTGTTAAGAAAACTTTTAATTGCTCGCACATTGAAATTACGATGAAATGCATATTCATGATTATTCTATAATCATGATTGTAACATACATGTATATCATTCACTGATCTATACAGTATTAGAAAAATTAAGCAATTCCTTCACTTCCTGTTCTCATCTTTGGCAGGTTCGATTAGTACCGAGCATCTCTCAATTCATGCTTCGGTGAATATATTATTGATTCCAGGTAAACCGGAGAGAAAACTGCAAATAATCAATTTAATTTACTTTTTTTCTGACAAGAACTCAGCAGTAAGTTGTCTCATGTTAAATTCATTGAAAAGCTAGAAACCGAAGGATGCTGAAGATTTTACAAAATTACTATGTACATGTATTAATTGAAATGCTCATGCACCTAGTTGCCTATAAGTAAATAAATTAATAATCTTCGTCATTGATAAACAAGCTTTAGTAATCCTTTTTCTGCGTTGCGTAATTTTTCATATGTAAAACAGAATCGATCAATTCGCGATTTTCTTTCTCGTCACACATATTTTGAACAGAACTTATACTTGAAATTCTTCGCTACACCATTTGCTGGACAGGATATATACATTCTCAGACTGTGTTTTGTTTTATCATGTGTTAAGCTACATGTAGTTAGCAACGAAAGGAAATCTGGAAATCTGCTGATCGTTTCTCACTTATAAAATCACAATTCCTACTTACCTATGGCGAGGACGATTATAAAAGACCACCATTTCATGTTTGGTATGTTGTATTTTCTGTGATTGCAAACACTCTGATGATATAGGTATCCTGGTTATTTCAAAATCACAGCTAATCTACTGTCGCTCACACACCCATTTATTTACCTTGCAGTTGTCTGTCAACTGCCCTACTATTTAACCCGGATCCGCCTGACTGGTCAATACTTTGAAAAACGTTAAGGCAACCGTGACGGCGTCATTTACATGTAAATAGACTGTTAGTTCCTGTTGCGGAGAGTACAGGGATCGTAAAAGAAAGAAAAAACGAGAATATTCGATTTATTACGCAATTTGAAGATATAATTTTCACAGAGTAGAGGTAAATACAAAACTGAGTGGGGGAAATACCAAATTTTAACCCTGAAATCCCCCCACCCAAAATGATTCTGTTAACCTTTAGAAAAACTTCCTTATTCTCTAACAGGTTTGTTAAAACAAAGGCAAAAGTCGGATGGGCAAAACAGTGTTTTCTTTTGTGCTTGATCTTGTTCTTGATAAAATTTCTAGAGCACAGGTTTACATTTTTCACAAAAGATATTCAACATTCTAAGTTTGGATAGGTTTATTTAGACATATTTTGATCCCATGACCTATTGGAATTCCGACGGGAATCTAAGTGGGGTTAGTTTTACACCGAATGTAAAGGAAAAGTAACTTTGTAGTAAAGAAGTTCAGAAAGTGAGCAAATTAATGGGTTTTCTGCTTGTTATTGAAGCTTGTGTGGCCGTTTACAGTTCAAATCCTTGGTGGGTGACGACAGATTCCCTTAACTAATTTAATATTCAACAGTATGTTCCGAGTATCAGAGCAATTTCTAAAGAGCCAGGGTACTGACAGGTCTAAGTTGAGGTTACAGTGATTTCCACTCGGTCTTTCTCAGACGTCCGTGTCGAATTTTACCCGCTTATTTCAATGTTATACAGTATATAACATGTGGAAATGACGTAATATGCATTTTTCCAATCGTTTCGTCGTCCTAATAACCAAATGAAATTACAAATAATAACAGTACGACATTTAACTCTGGACACGACATAGTCCAGACTTTTTACTACCATTTCTGATTATGATATCCAAAATATTTTTATATCACATGGTGGAATTTCTTAGCAGTATTCCAGGGTCTTATGTTGAACTCGCACACACATCCACTTCTAAAGATATGAAGTCCTAAAATTCAGAATTCCAGAGGAAAATGGTGGGATTTTCAATCCCACTAACTATCCCACCATTCTCCCATGGGAGAAAAAATGTCAGATGGGATATTTTCTCCCAGGGGATTTTTTCTCCCACAAATTTGCTCAAATGGGATAAATCCCACGGATATTTACAATCAAACAATTTCTCCTAAACATTGTGAAACATGGAATATGCCCCAAAAATTATGACAGTAACAAATCTCTCATCATTATATATAGAATTGTTCCAAATATAACAATGTATTGGAAAAAATAATTCAGTGGCAATATCCGTGGGATTTATCCCATTTGAATAAATATTTGGGAGATAAATTCCCCTAGGAGAAAATATCCCATCTGACTTTTTTTTCTCCCATGGGAAAATGGTCGGATAGTTGGTGGGACTGAAAATCCCACCATTCCCCCATGGGAGACCCTGGAATACTTCTAAGAAATCACACCAAGTGATATAAAAATATTTTTGATATTATAATTAGAAATGGTAGTAAAAATTCTGGACTATGTCGTGTCCCAAGTTAAGTGTCGTACTATTATAACCTATTTTGTACAGTGTTATTCAAAGGGGCTTGGGAGTTGCAGCCATTTTCAGACTATTTCGATCTCCTTTAGAAGAAGAGCTCCGTATAAAGATATACAAAAATGGTCAAATTTTAAAACTAAAATGTATGAATTTTTTCTTTGCCAAATGATAGTTGGTAGCTTAAGATACGTATTTTAAAAAAAATAAGTTAAATCTGGTTGTTTATTTGTTGACCCCCAGCCTCCTTAAATAAAAACAGTTGTGTAGTATATTTATTTTTTGAAATTTTAATACTAGTATAAAGAATATGAACCGAAAAAATTTACATATATTTTTTCACGAAGTATTTCAAAAACAATTTTAAATAAGAAATATATGCATTTCAAAGAGGAGAACACAAGTTTGAAGTAAATAATTAAAAATCTCAATGATCTTGTGTGACTTATGATTAAAACAGATCTAGAAAGTAACTGTTGCTTTTGTTAAAGACGTTTGTTCATATATACAGTTTACAACAACAAGCAAATCAACACAAAACAACTTCCTTCGAGGTAAGAATAATATATATCATGTATCTTACCTTTTAAAGTTTTCTTTACATATAAATTTACAATACATGTAGCTTTCTTAGAAAACAGTCTCGCAATAAAAGAAATAGTACGTCATCAATGAACATTGAGCCAAACTTGATGTGAATAGAAAAAAAAATCGAGCCATCCGAGGATTCGGATACTAGCTAGTATCGAAATTAAATTTGGTTTAGAAAAAAATGTCAGGGCTTACTAGCTCATATCGACATACCGGTATTCAATATGTTCGAGATATCGATTTTCGAGATACCGAAGTTCTACTGTAAAATGTCTGCTTTAATGCATTCATAATGTAATAATTATTGTAAACCACCCTCAACTTTAGAAGGTATTCCTTATAACTTAATCGGTCTAATTAGTATTTAATACACATGTTAAAGTTCTTCACAACACAATTCACAAATAATTTTGGCAGAAAAAGTATTTTCCTGACGTCGAATTGAATTGCTTCTTTATGCTACACTTAATTAATTCGAAACATTCATAGAAAACAACAACAACACCGGCATACAGGTCCAAGAAAGTCGTTTTGAATGCATCGAAGGGAGAATGTGATAATTAATGAATGATAAACAGTGGACGTCATTGAAATAGTAGTATTGCTTTTTAAATTCATTTGACTCTGACGATATTATATAATTACGGCATGTCCAGCATATTCAGTTCTGAATTCTTGGTCCGGTATGGGGGTGAGTGATTTCTCTATAGGGCAATCAACTTCTCAAGAAAGAAAGGGTGATGGCGGTTTTTTGTCTGCTGTTGCCATTTCGTACGACGGTGGAGGACTATCATGAGTGCTAGTAGTGTATATGTCTGAAAATTCTAGAAAGAAAATGAAAATTATAATAAAATGATTGTTATAATTATCTTTTTGGTAAATGCTACATGTAATTTCTTTCTAATGAAAGTGATTCAAAAAATTACATTGCTTAACAGAAATTAACTGAGTTACACTATCAAATGTTACTTTGCAAAGCATACTTGTGCAATGGCATGCGTTTAAAATTAATATGATAAAATAATGCATCTATATGTACATGCACTTTACAGGTGTCTATCTTGACTTACTTGGCCTCTCTGCTGTGGCCGTATGCCTCCTTGGTCTGGATGTCTTTATACGTTTAACCACACAAAATACGCCAACAAACAGCAACACAGTAGCGACAATGATCCCAATCACCAATCCAACAATTGTCCCCCTGTTGTTAGTATAATGAATTATATTAAGTTTAAAAAAAAATTGTGATATAATTTCCATTATACATGTATATAAGATTCTCGATCAAAATCAGTTTCAAAACCTTGAAAATATTGCTTTTGGTATCCAGATTAATATTCACTTTATCAATACGCTTAACTTTTACAACAAACATTTCTTGAGAACATAAACATCCTATTTGCTAGCTGCAGGAGTGTAGCACTCCGAGAAATTAAAAATATATTGACAGACCGCATGATAGTCTCCAATTTTTTTCAGGCAAGCGAGCTACAGATCTGCAGCTACATAACTGATTGAATTTTTTCAATGTCCGACTTTAAACGTACACAGTCCAGAAAGGACAGCAGTATTGAAGTCCCTCCTCACCACAACAGTATTTGTAATCATCAGACATAGTATCGTCCAGTGGGCAGAAAAACCGGCCCTTGTATGATACGCTGCCATTAGGGCTCTTGTCATACTTGTCGTTGTAGCAAACTTTGGGCACTGTAAAGTAAAATATAAAAAAAACTAAAGGAAAAAAAGATTTTGATTTTTTTAAATTTTAAAAACATTAAAGTTCTTGGATAATTGCTAAACAAGAATATTACTATGAAAGTGTACAAGCTAGAATTTAAAGAAAATCAACGATCCATGTCGACACAGATGAATGTAAAATGGTTTGTCATCACTGTCTAGTGAGTAGTGTATGCCAGTGCATCAGCGATAGTGAGAAACATGGGTTAATTTGCATAAAGGACGAAGCAAATTAAGCCACCTTAGCTCCTGACCTATTGATTGGCGAAATTTACATTCCAGTAGAATGATCAAGAAATCAACTCACCAAACTTTCAAGGTTATCACAAAGAAAACAAATAGCAATGGAAATATTATCTGATATCACTTCATATAAACAAAATTAAGTTCTAGAAGACAAAATGCACTTACACGTGCCATGTTCAGTATAACTGGCTCTCATGCGGTACCGAGCAGCTCCGTACACAGTTCCAAGCAGCAGGGCGGTCCGAATACTACGGGAGCCGGAGATACGGTTACCCCTGAAAGCGGATCTATAACCTCTACTGCTTCTGTAGGAACCACCCCCATAACGCCCCCCTCTAGATCCGCCACGACCTCCTCTGGCATTGGCTGCAAAAGAAAAATTAAGCCGGAAAACTATTTGGTAGGGTTCTGTACATATAAGAGATAAAACAAAAACAAACATGCATTTACGCAATGTACATATTGTCAATATAAGTGACCCATATATTGCAAGGAATATCCTAGCTCTTTGCGCTAGTAAACTACTTTGTGAATGAATGTATGTTCCCTTTACATCAATTTTATATTATTTATAGGTATATTCATATACAAATCATTAGTGAATCTTATCGGAGATACACAGAAATGATAACAATCATGCACTTGTTTGTATACAATTTTTGTGCATAAGGTTGATGTTTACATATTGTATTGTTATGATTATGAGATGCTGCACATACAATAAATGCTGAGTATGACATGCATGTATCATTCAACAAAGTATTGCCTGGTTGTTTAACATATTAGAACAAATTTTTTGAATCCTGAAAAAGATGTATTAAACCCTATATATATATTGTCTTCCACTGCTAAAGAATGCTTTTTGATACATGAACGCGGAACTATATCTGAACACCTTTGTTTATTCAGGCATTTTTAATGTATTCGAACTGATTATAAATAACATTTGCTTTCGGAAAATCGTATCGTATGAAAGCTACATGTACACTGTATAGTGTTATATACACGTATGTACAGTCATGTAAAACAGTATCCTCAAAACATATACATTTTGGGTCGTGTGAATGCAAAAACATTCTGATAGATTTTTTTTCGAAATCAAATTTTACAGAATTAGATAATGGATATCAATATCAAACAGATATATCCAGATATTTTAACCAAAGTTTTACCTACCTATAGCAAGAACGGCTATAAATGTCCACCATTTCATGGTGTGTCATTTCTGTATCGAAGACACCAATACATGTGATAAAAATATTTCAAAATTACCTGGTACCTTATCACAAAGCGGATGACAAACGCTCGTGTTGACAAATTATCGATCAGATAACCTTTGTGTACTGTATACAAGGGCTCAAAATCGAAAAATGCCAGTCCTGATTTTCCTTGCGATAAACTAGTGATAATTTGATGTTTTGTGGAAATGTTTAGGATGGGTCCAGGAATTCGGATTGCAGGTGAATTTTATTTTTTCAGAGGTAGGGGTCTGGCGACCGCTTTAAGGCATAAAGTATTAACTCTTCAAAGTGTGTGAATTGTTTAATTGATTGATTTAATGTTGCTTAACGTCCCTCTTGAGATTTTTTCATTTAAATGGAGACGCCACCATTTGCCAGAGGAGAGCTGCAAATTTTGTCATGTATTCGACACTTACGGCCATTGAGCAGGTAGGTATCTTTTTCATGCCAGCACCTACTGCGACACGGGACCCCGATTTATACGGTCTCATCCGAAGCACCTGTCTCCACGTCCCACAGTGGGATTCGAACACGCGACGAAAGGATCATGAGTGCGTGAAGCAGCATCCGCGGAAAAAAAGTGCGTAAAAACAGGTTCACAATTCTTGCTTTTCCACGAATACTAGTATTACGATTAGTGTCATTTTCATGTTGTAAACAATTAAAATTGTCCTCTCAACCTTTCTGGGTAAAAGATTTTCTGATAAAAGTAAATTTTAAGACGATTATCTCGCGAAACAAAGGCCATGGATATAAATAGATATGTTTACTTAAATTTTGATCGTTACAGCTTTCCGTACTAGATAAAGCAATGCTGAATTCGGTTAAAGGTCATTTAAAACTGTGATTGCAGGTAAACTTTATTCTTGTTATACTTTATATGAAAGAACATAAATACTGACAGTGAAAATATGCTATCAGTTATAGAATTATCTATGTTTGAGTTTGTGATTCAATTATAAATTCGGAACCGACATGGTAAATGCAAAGATGCTGAAGTTCAGTTAGTAGCGATTTATTCTTCATAATTTCTAATCCCGGTAATGGATATTACTTTTAAAATGATTTTAAAAATATTTTTTAAAATTCTATTGTAAAACTCAATTGTGAAGCTTCTTGTTTCATATAAAAAATGTCAGACCAAAATTATGAACAGTTTAACAGTAAAATTGCTCTATGTACGGAAACACATTTTGGATTAAAGTTCATGCCATTTTAATTATCAACAAAACTTCGACGGATCAAACTTCTTCTTTGTTTAATGCATCATGTTTTGTTTTGTTTTGTTTTTTAAATAGAATTTTACAGGTGAAAAATGGGGCATTTTGATTCTGCGAAAGAGTTCTACTATGACACCTTGTCAAGGGGAGGTAAGAACAAAATTTTAATCAATTATTTTGTTTTTTAAAACAAATAAGAGTTGTAGGTCTTTAGAGTGAAAATATATACACTGTATATAATGTTTAAATTTTCAAAAAAATCTATATACGATAAATATGTTGTTGCTATTATATATGCACATTAATAGAAGAGTATAATATCTAACATTTACATTTTACTAAAAAAAAAATTTGGATAATGTAGTACTGTACTTTAATTGAACTTTCCAAATTTGAATTCACTGAATTTCACTCCAAAACGTATGCATGTATCTTGATCTGTTTTGCATGGATTTTACAGATAAGAGAGTTGAAAACTGGGTATTAATGGCGACCCCTATACCAGTCATCATGTTTTTTGTGGCGTACATTGCGGTTGTAGTAGCTGGTCCTCGTATCATGGCGGGCAGAAACCCTTTCAACATCAAATACCTCTTGTTTCCTTATAATGTAGCTCTAGTGATTCTATCAGTGTACATGTTTAAGGAGGTACGGATTACTTTAAACATTTTATTTTTTTTAAGTAAAATACAATGGCCTATATTTGGTATTTACAACTGTTTTAAGTATGAAAATCAATGAAAGGTAATTCAGAATATTGACCGATATTTAGAGGGGCTAACTTTGTCATTTTTGTTTAAGAAAGTAGGTGTTTACAATTTGAATGAAGGCAATTTAAGATTTTCGAATAAAATAATTTTTTCATTATGTTTCAGTTTCTGATCACCTCTCTCAGATCTAACTACAGTTATTTATGTCAGCCTGTTGACTATTCAGAGAGTCCTCTAGCTATGAGAGTATGTACATGTTTACATAGTTTTAAGACCTTGGCATCATTTTATAATTTTTCAAACATAAAGATATTTTCACACGTAAAAATTAACAGCTATGATCTACAACTTAGTTTTCACAACATGGTCTCTAGAAAAAAAATATTTTCTATGGCAAGACATTTACAAATATTGAATCAATTATCAAAGTAATTTGATGGTATACATTTACCGTTAACTTACCACAAAAAAGGTTCTATTCAAAGAGTGTCATCAGTTTGTCCATTTGTCTATTTATTGTCTCGTAACACAAGAGTCAAAAACTTTAGTGAAGAAAAAAAAAACACCCGGTAAAAATTATTACCACCAATTTTTTCATGGGTGAAATATTTTATAAAATGTTAGACTATGAACATATTCATTCTTTATTCTTGTAGATGGCCAATGTTTGCTGGTGGTTCTTCTTTTCCAAAGTGATTGAATTGCTTGATACAGTATGTAATAATTTGTTACTTTTTCTCATTCGTATCCAGATGTTCGCAAATTTTAAAATACTAGTACTGATAATTTTTTGAGCTATTATAATTTATAATACCCCCAAAAGAAATTATAAAATTTAGAGCAAATTGAAAAAAAATAATTTTTGAGCAATTTTTTTCTGAGATGATTTAAGGAATAACTGTCTTATTTTTCGAATTCATGAAGTGATCAATGGATTGGCTTGTGTGATAATTTGCATAAACGCCGAAGGCGTTTATGCATAAAATTATCACACAAGCCAATTTTTGATCATCTTCATGAATTCGAAAAACAGCAGTATTCCTTATATTTACATGCTTTGATTCCGCCAATCCACGGGCTCCAAGCCTGCTTCTCTCTAGGTTTTTGTCCCGCCCTGCACGTGGTTTTTTTGGAACCGCGCCAAAACATTCATGAGGAAATCAATTACATTTACAATTGGTAATTTTATCTCGGACAAAGACATTGGAAATGTAAATATATATATTAGTAATGTGTATTTTATAAGAAATATCAAAGATACATGCATTAAATATGAAATGTCGAATTCCTTTTTAGGTGTTTTTCATAATGCGCAAAAAGTTTGACCAGGTGACCTTTTTGCACGTGTACCATCACAGCAGTATGATATTTAACTGGTGGTTTGGTGTAAAATACGTTGCAGGTGGTCAATGTAAGTCACATGTCTGTAATCTTTTAGAGACGCATTATTTTGACTTTTTAGCTCACCTGAGCCGAAGGCTCAAGTGAGCTTTTCTGATCAAAATTTGTCCGTCGTCTGTTGTTGTCGTTGTCGTCGTCGTTGTCGTCGTCGGCGTAAACTTTTCACATTTTCATCTTCTTCTCAAGAACCACTGGGCCAATTTCAACCAAACTTGGCACAAAGTATCCTTGGGTAAAGGGGATTCAAGTTTGTTCAAATCAAGGGCCACGCCCTTTTCCAAGGGGAGATAATCATGAATTTGTTAAAAATTAATGGCATTTTTAAAAAATCTTCTTCTCCAGAACCGCTGGGCCAGGAAAGATGAAACTCATGTGGAAGCATCCTCAGGTAGTGTAGATTCAAGTTTGTTCAAATCATGACCCCCGGGGCAAGGGTGGGGCCAAAATGGCCGACCCAAGTTTTACATAGGAATACATAGGAAAAATCTTTAAAAATCTTCTTCTCCAGATCCACTGAGCCAGGAAAGATGAAACTCATATGGAAGCATCCTCAGGTAGTGTAGATTCAAGTTTGTTCAAATCATGACCCCCGGGGCAAGGGTGGGGCCAAAATGGCCGACCCAAGTTTTACATAGGAATACATAGGAAAAATCTTTAAAAATCTTCTTCTCCAGAACCACTGGGCCAGGAAAGATGAAACTCATGTGGAATCATCCCTAGGTAGTGTAGATTCAAGTTTGTTCAAATCATGACCCCCGGGGCAAGGGTGGGGCCAAAATGGCCGACCCAAGTTTTATATAGGAATATTTAGGAAAAATCTTTAAAAAATCTTCTTCTTAAGAACCACTGGGCCAGGAAAGATGAAACTCATGTGGAATCATCCTCAAGTAGTGTAGATTAAAGTTTGTTCAAATCATGACCCCCGGGGTAAGGGTGGGGCCAAAATGGCCGACCCAAGTTTTACATAGGAATATATAGAAAAAATCTTTAAAAATCCTTCTCAAGAACCACTGGGCCAGGAAAGATGAAACTCATGTGGAATCATCCTCAGGTAGTGCATATTCAAGTTTGTTCAAATCATGACCCCTGGGGCTAGGGTGGGGCCAAAATGGCCGACCCAAGTTTTACATAGGGATATATATGGAAACCTTTTAAAATCTTCTTTTCAAGTACTTCAAAGCTATGATTAGTGATATATATATGGAATCATCCTCAGGTAGTGTAGATTCTAGTTTGTTCAAATGATGAATGCCTGGAGGGGGGGTGGGAGTAAATTCAAGCCCGATGTGCTCAGGTGAGCGCTGTGGCCCCTGGGCCTCTTTTTTACTTTCGCGGCAAAACTTCAACTATTATCCATTCGATGAAATACAAAAATCTTTGTTGCATTGTGGCTGGATATAGAGTTCCACGGTAGCAAATTCATTTTTTTAAATCTATGTGAAAATCTAACTTTTCATGCAGTTTATATTTCATAAGAGATAAAGAACATCTTATTTAACTTTGACGATTACATTTTTTAATCATGTATTTTGCTGTCTAAATGAAATACAATAAATCGTTTTAAAAAACAAGTGTTACGAGTACATATATTTTTTTTAAATAAATGTTTTTAAAAAATATTTTTCAGCATTCTTTACGGGTATGTTGAATTCATTCGTCCATATCTTCATGTATTCGTACTACGCCCTCTCGCTACTGGGACCCAATGTTCAGAAGTACCTCTGGTGGAAGAGATATCTAACTAGACTCCAATTGGTGAGTAAGGAACAAAACTGGCAAAAATTTAGAATTAGGTATGAAAGAGAAATCTGAAAATCTACCGAAATAGAAAACTTAAAAGTCTCAGTTTATAATTTTAAATGAAGCATTTCTCGCATGTAGGTGTATATAGATCATCTCCATATCCCTCAAGAGATGCATATGATCCCCCCACTTAAATTGTAGAATCGTTTTTTCTTGTCTTATTTATTCAATGCGTTATTTAATGCCCGCGTGGTGTAGAGGTTAAAGCGTCTGCTCTACAGTCGCGAAGTACGGAGTTGAATTTTATGTCGTGGGTTCAAATCACACTGTGGGACGTAGAGACCGGTCCTTCGGATGAGACCGTAAAATCGAGGTCCCCTGTCGCAGTAGGTACCAGCACGAAAAAGATCCCTCCCTGCTCAATGGCCCTAAATACCAGGTGCAGTAGAGGGCAAAATTTACATCTCTCCACTGGCAAGCAGTGGCGTCCCCATATAAGTGAAAAATTCTCGAGAGGGACATTAAACAATATACAATCAATCAATCAGTGCGCTATTTCTAACCAATATTCTTTCTTTTCCAGATTCAGTTTTTCGCCTTTGTTGTCCATACTGGATACAACCTCATAACAGACTGTGATTTTCCGCAGAGTTTTAACATTGCTGTTTTTCTTTACGCAATTTCTCTAATAATCCTATTCGGGAATTTTTACTACAGAGCATATACGCTAAGACAAAGAGACAATAGGACTGCCAAGAAAACATCATAGATGCTACTTAATGATCAAACTAACTTGCCATTCACTGAATAGTTACATATACTCAATATATACTCAATGTAGAAATTGTGTACGTTTTTGTCTTATATTGTATTTTTTTAATTTGTTACTATGAATACCAGTGAACTTTACAAACATAATAAGATGTGCTAGAGGTTGCTTTCATTTATGTTTTTTAAAATTCAGTCGACTTTATTTCATCAAGGTCGAATTCATTAATGCAAGTGTAATTCTTCCATCAAAATATTATGAATGTTAAAAATATTATCCAAATATATTTTATATCTATGCAGCACAATTTGAAAAAAAAATAATATGAATTTATTTTTACAGTACAGAATTCCAAGGGTCTTGTTTAAAAATGTGTACTAATAGAATGAAGAAAAACAACTCGATCAGCGGCAAATAATATTTTTATTAATAGAAGTTCAATTATCCGTGCCAAAAAGAAATTCAGAAAGGAGAGGACAACGGAGCTTTAAGACATCTCAAAATGGATGTTTCATTTACAATTTCAAAAGTTTTGACAGGGAACCCCTGTTAAAACGGAGTTCCCTGAAATGCCAAAATGTTCGAAATAGTTGGAAGTAATTTTGGTCTGGTAACTCGGCATCACGATCTATCTCTCTTGCTTCGGTACCAGAAAGGAAAAGCCAAAGATGAATTTAGAATAGTAAAATTTTGTCAGCCATGTTAGTCTCGTCTGTTTATGAGGCCAACATTCTGGAAAATTTTAAAGATAGGTCTAAAAAACGAAAATATAAAATTTACAGCCAAAGAGAGCAGCGGGATAAAAGAGCTCGGGTGTCCCCTCCTTGGGTCCAAATGATTTGTAATTTAGAAATAATAAGTTTTGGATGAATTTTATGCCAGTCCATTTTTCGCCAGGCCATATAAATAAAATGTTCTGCCTGGAGGAAATTTTATGCCAGTTCATTTATGAAAGTCCATCTTCAAAATTAATCACTGATGTTGACGTATTTTTCAAGCCGCTCCATTTCCTTGTGGGCGCTTTCAATTTTCTTCTGCACGATGGCCTCTTCTCTTTTCTGCCGGGCCCTCTCTTGTTTTTCTACCTGTGTCTTTTCTTGGTTTTCTAAAATGAATAAAAAAAACACATAATTATAGTTTAATAACAAAAAGGTAATTTAAAGAATGAAATCTGTAAATACGAATTTACATGTAGAAAATGTAGCGCCGTGCGTTATTCAAGGATTTAAATAATTAAACTTACCTCTCCATTTTTCAAAATCCTCTTTTTTGTCAGTAGTCAGTCGGCTAGGAGGCCTGGTCGGCAGCTTAAGTGCTGATTCCGCAGTGAGGAAAGTTAGATCGAAGGCCACACCGCCCTTCCTCTCAGTCAAATCCTCCGTGATCATTGTCTGACGAACCTTTTCATACGCCTTCATTTCTTCCTTCCCCATCACTCCTACCCTGTTATGTTTGCCAAGGCAACTCTGAAATATACCCATGATGTTTTTCAGTGTGTATTCTTGTTTCCAACAGCGAGATTTTTGGGATAGATTATTGTGACGTCATGACTATTATTACGCCATCGTTATTGTGACGTGATAATGACGGATCTAAAAAAATGATCATCCCTACGTTTCCCTATTCCACTAAACTTTAATTCACTATAATACTTTTATACAGCACTTACAGTAACATTTTTTTCGTTTTAAAAATTTAAATTGCATTTTAACGTGTACTGTATATGAAGAAGTTTGGAGAATATTTCTTACAGCACAAGTTTATTTTCACACAGTGTTACTTTAAGTCTTACAGTTTTTTTTCTTCACTTTTTCCATTTCAAAAATAAAGCAAGAAATGTAGATTAAATATCATATTAAAACATTATAATATTTTTTTTTTCTTGGGAAATTATAAAATGTGAGAGGGAAACATCATTTTCAATATTTTTTTAATTTGATTGTCATTCTTCTAAAAAGGAAAAAAAATCAAAATAATTAATCGACTGTATAAAATATCATTAAAAATTTAAGATCACGTAGATGTACATGTACCTTCATGAATCATGACATTGTTGATATACTGTATTTCTCATGTTTCTGCTGGGCTTTTCCACTGGCTCCAATAAGATCTCTGTACAGTTCTAAGAAAAGCTGAAAATATAGGATCTTAAAACTAATCTAAATAATATGATCTTTAAAAAAATAGTTATGTATGAATTGAGGTGGTCCAAATATTTTAACCCATTTTTTATTTGTATATGGACCCTTCCTTTGTATAATTTTTGAACCCGTCTTGTGGCTTCACCCTATCCCGGGGGTCATGATTGGAACATATTTGAATCTACACCACTTGAAGATGGTTCGATAGATCTGTTCTAATAAGACTAAATATGGATTGACTTTCTTGAGAAGAAGCTTTTACTATATATTCCTTGTATAACTTTGACCTCTCATTGAAGCCCAACCCTGCCCCTAGGAGTCAAATCCCTAGCATAAATAATGCCTCCATCCAAGGACAATGCGTCGGATACCCGTGGATGACCCGGATGATGAGTAAAAGATGAGATCACTCGTGGCTATCCGACGATGTACAATTAATTACATGTATCCAAACTGTACTTTGACATATTATACATCTTCCACCGGGTTGGGGGGGGGGGGGGGGGGCGAAGATATTTTAATGTTCAAGTCTAAGGTCACTTCACAGTAATACTCATCTTAATTTTTTTTTTTTTTTTTTTTTTTTTTTTTTTTTTGCATGGAACGATTATTTTGGGGTATTCCTGTTTTTTCCCTATACTACACATAAAAGAAAAGTGTCATAAATATAATTTGGGCATCCAACTATCCCCGGAGTTAAAAATCGAGGGAAGGGGGTGAGACTTTACCCTATAACCATTCGTTAAATACCTAGCATACCTCTGGCTAAAGAAAGTACTGTAAATTCCTTATTTTTCGCGAGTACTTTTTATCGCGAACTGGGTCTTTCACGTCAAATCGCGAGAATTATAATTCGCGAATGGGCGGTTGATCAAAGAATTTACATAGATCTCAGCACCATAAAAATAAAAGCGAGAAATATTTTTTCGCGAGCGACGTTTCTGGCGAAATTACGCGGAAATTAATTCCTCGCGTATAATTAGGAATCTACAGTATAATGTGTTTCCTAGTTACAGTATACTTGTATATAAATTAAAAGAGGTCAATATACTTTGGTAAAATTACCTAAGTTTCTCACTGTTTGTAGTAATTATAGAAGTGGCCAATAACCAGTTTTCAGGGTTGGCCTTTCTTTAAAATGAGAATTTATTTGTAAAAGAATTTTAGGTATCTGTTGGAGACTTAAAAATCAGCCGAATTAGAGGAAAGCTTGTTTTGAGAGGTTTCACTGTACATGTATGTACATAAGCTTTTGAAATGTAACATTTAAACAAGAAAATATTTACATATGAAAAACATTGAAAACAGCAGATAATAAGTTTAAAATGAAGTTTCCGTTTTAGTATGGCAATAATGACGAAATTTTTTTTTTATTCGGGCCACTTTTGAACGATTTGCTTGACTTGCCTTACTAAATCTGGAAACTCCATAACCACCCCTGCCTCCTCCTCTATATAGGTGCATCAATACCAAATAGTCGGAAACAAAAATCAATAAGATTTACCTGTAAACAGCAAATTTAACAGGATAACAATAATAATTTGCTACAAAAATGTAAAATAACACCATAATTACAAATAAAAGATAGTTAATGTTAAAAGTTGTTTTATTTACAGAAACACGGCTTGTAAAATTAAAGGTTAACAATAGGAAAAAAGTTTCTTTTGACACAAAGGGAAACAATTTAAAACAGTGACATCAACGATTTGTATGATACATTAAATTTGCTTCTATATATGCATTTTTATTGGATAAAAATCTTTAAATCTCTAATTACTATAGCAACATTTTCCTTTAAAATGGTAATGCTTACTAAAATGCCGAAATAAATTGATGGAAAAAATTTACTCCTTGCAGGAATTCATTTACAGGATTCTCTTATAATGAAACATGAATAATGATTAATTTTAAAAAGGTTACTTTCGTAAATCATGCTATTTTGTTATCTATCCGTAATTAAGAACACAATATACAATTGCAATTTGTAACGCATGGTGAAATAAAACCGAGATAAATACTACTGAAAAACTGAACTAAAAAAAACAATCAAGTACACATATGAAAATGATGTTGGGATTGAAAGTGAAGTGGAGATAACTACATATATATCGATCTTTTATCTTCAATGTTCTTTTGTGGCAGCATTCAAGTTATCTATGAAGCATTATGGATGAATGTGAGGTAGATTGTCTATAACGCAAAGGTTTACAAATATGTGGTATTTTTGCAAATGTTCAAAATTCTTCAAAATGCTAAATATATGTGTATCTCAAATACGTAAATCGGTAATTGCATATAAAACGAATTTTTTCTACCATAAATAAATGCAAAATCTGCCTTTTTTGTAGGTAGTCTTTTTGTATATCTTAATGTATTAAACAAAATACATGTGTAAACATGTCATGAAACAGTCTTTGACATAAATATGCTCAAGATAGAAGAATAGTAATGTGTAGTATCATCAGAATGGAAGCATAGTGATGTGTAGGATTATCAGGGTAGAAGCATAGCGATATGTAGGATTATCAGGATAGAAGTATAGTAATATGTAGGATTATCAGGATAGAAGTATAGTAATATGTAGGATTATCAGGGTAGGAGCATAGCGATATTTAGGATTATCAGGGTAGAAGCATAGCGATATGTAGGATTATCAGTGTAGAAGAATAGTGATATGTAGGATTATCAGGATAGAAGTATAGTAATATGTAGGATTATCAGGGTAGAAGCATAGCGATATGTAGGATTATCAGGATAGAAGTATAGTAATATGTAGGATTATCAGGGTAGAAGCATAGCGATATGTAGGATTATCAGGATAGAAGTATAGTAATATGTAGGATTATCAGGGTAGAAGCATAGCGATATGTAGGATTATCAGGATAGAAGTATAGTAATATGTAGGATTATCAGGGTAGAAGCATAGTGATATGTAGGATTATCAGGATAGAAGTATAGTAATATGTAGGATTATCAGGGTAGAAGCATAGCGATATGTAGGATTATCAGGGTAGAAGCATAGTGATATGTAGGATTATCAGGGTAGAAGCATAGTGATATGTAGGATTATCAGGATAGAAGTATAGTAATATGTAGGATTATCAGGGTAGAAGCATAGCGATATGTAGGATTATCAGGATAGAAGTATAGTAATATGTAGGATTATCAGGGTAGAAGCATAGCGATATGTAGGATTATTAGGGTAGAAGCATAGCTATATACCGGTATAGGATTATCAAGGTAGGAGCAAAGTGATATATAGGATTATCAGGGTAGAAGCAAAATGATATGTAGGATTATGAGGGTAGAAGCATAGTGGTATGTAGGATTATCAGGATAGAAGCAAAGTGATATGTAGGATTATCAGAGTAGAAGCATAGCGATATGTAGGATTATCAGGGTAGAAGCATAGTGATATGTAGGATTATCAGGATAGAAGTATAGTAATATGTAGGATTATCAGGGTAGAAGCATAGCGATATGTAGGATTATCAGGATAGAAGTATAGTAATATGTAGGATTATCAGGGTAGAAGCATAGCGATATGTAGGATTATCAGGATAGAAGTATAGTAATATGTAGGATTATCAGGGTAGAAGCATAGTGATATGTAGGATTATCAGGATAGAAGTATAGTAATATGTAGGATTATCAGGGTAGAAGCATAGCGATATGTAGGATTATCAGGGTAGAAGCATAGTGATATGTAGGATTATCAGGGTAGAAGCATAGTGATATGTAGGATTATCAGGATAGAAGTATAGTAATATGTAGGATTATCAGGGTAGAAGCATAGTGATATGTAGGATTATCAGGATAGAAGTATAGTAATATGTACAATTATCAGGGTAGAAGCATAGTGATATGTAGGATTATCAGGATAGAAGTATAGTAATATGTAGGATTATCAGGGTAGAAGCATAGCGATATGTAGGATTATCAGGGTAGAAGCATAGTGATATGTAGGATTATCAGGGTAGAAGCATAGCGATATGTAGGATTATCAGGGTAGAAGCATAGCGATATGTAGGATCATCAGGGTAGAAGCATGATAGTGATATGTAGGATTATCAGGATAGAAGTATAGCGATATGTAGGATTATTAGGGTAGAAGCATAGCGATATACCGGTATAGGATTATCAAGGTAGGAGCAAAGTGATATATAGGATTATCAGGGTAGAAGCAAAATGATATGTAGGATTATGAGGGTAGAAGCATAGTGGTATGTAGGATTATCAGGATAGAAGCAAAGTTATATGTAGGATTATCAGAGTAGAAGCATAGCGATATGTAGGATTATCAGGGTAGAAGTATAGCGATATGTAGGATTATCAGGGTAGAAGCAAAGTGATATGTAGGATTATTAGGGTAGAAGCATAGCGATATACCGGTATAGGATTATCAAGGTAGGAGCAAAGTGATATATAGGATTATCAGGGTAGAAGCAAAATGATATGTAGGATTATGAGGGTAGAAGCATAGTGGTATGTAGGATT